AACAGCAGATAGTAATCGAGCCTCCTCCCGTTTTTTGCTTTTTAAGGGCGATTCAAGCTTAAGGAGAATGTTAAACCTTAGTTGCCTTCAGTAGGAAAACACAAAAGAGAAAAATCTAAACCACGAAAGAACAATGATGGCGAAGAGTGGAGAAAAGTATAAAGGATTTCCAGCGAAAAACTTGAAAAATTTCGGCCAAATTTTTCATGATGCGCCAACATTTCCATCGCTCCTTTACCAGACCCCTTTTATAATGGGGCTTCATAATGGGAAAACGTATTAGTACCCGTGGTTTCGTCAACTGTCTCCTATGAAAGAGGCCTATTTCAAGCTGTGACCTTGATCTTCAATTCTAGGCTCAACGGTTGTCTCTGATGGATCACCTTCCTGCAGAGCCTGGGTCTGAATGTACAGCCCCAGTTTCCAATCTCCGATTTAGGCTGCCTAATGGTGATACTGTGACACGAAGATTCTTGGCCACCAATCCACTCCAGGTTTGATGTGTACTGATTTTCGCTTAACATTAAACACAAGCTTGTATTCTTGATTATTGATGTTGTGAGTACAACTTAAAATCAACTTGTCTTTATTGGACCTCGTTCTGAGGGAGAGACCTAAAAGTTGCCTTAACCCTTAAACCCCTAAGAATGACCAGCATCTAATTTCTCCTGACAATATCACCCCCAAATCACACGTCAAGGTTACGAGAATAAAGGAAATGATCATTTACTGAAGAAGCTCTTCATCTTAGGAAATATGTAGATAACAGTTGGAAGAATATGCATACTGATATTGGAATCTAAATGTTAAGTAACTTTTTCTCATTCAATGAAAACGTGTTACTTATTACGTGTTTCAATTTCATCATAGGTTGTGTTAACGTTTGTACAGACAAGAGGTTTCCTAGACAGTGAATATAAAGTAGTGACAAATTTTCCACGGAGAGATGTGAGTACATATAACACTTTAACTCCTAAGAGTGACTAGCATCTAATTTCTCCATACATTATCACCCCTGAATCAAACGTTAAGGTCATGAGAAAAAGTGAAATGATCGCAAACTCAAAAAGCTCTTGATTGATAGAAAATTCTCCTCGTAAGTATCATGGAAAATGTTTAGAGATCAGTATGGAGAATATGCATACTGATGTTGGGGTACAAAGGGTTAAGAAAAGGGGAAAAAATCTTTCTTTCCAACCTACTCATGCTAATCAAAGCTCTTCTTTTCTTTCTTTCTTTTCATTTTCTTTCACAGCTGTCGGCGCTGGATACAACAGAATCACTACAATCCATTGGACTTTATCCTCAAGAGACAATTTTTGTTGAAGAGCGCTAGTCATCTTGTTATATACCTGAAAAGAAAATGTAATATAGAGAGTTAAAGAAGTGGGATGTCTGAGGCTCGAAATGTTGGGTAACCTGTTCTTGACGTCTGAGCCTGAGGAAACCAGGAACTCGAAGCAAGGAACAAGGACAAAGGAAAGAAAAACACCAATAATATTCGAACTAGGTCTCCATTTTTCAGAACAATGAAGCCCAAAAGGATTGAAAGATCAAGATGACAGGGTCGTGATTACTTCATGAACAATCATGTCAAATTGAATACACATGCCTTGGACTAATAAGCTTTATGGTCACAGGAGGAAAGTTTTGCGTCGAAATTGTTCGCTTATATTTTCAAATTTTTAAATTAAATTATATTTAATTGATAGAAAAAGATATTTTTGTGGTTCGGTGTCTGTTTAAAGCTACTTGTGGGGAATTGTTAAGTACACTTTTAAAAAAAAAAGGGCCCTAGAGCAATTTTCAATAGAGTACTGCAAGTGATTTTGGGTTGCTTTAATTTTGTTCTACTTCGCTCTGTGATTGGTTCAGAAAACTCGCGCCTTTCTCTCAACCAATCAAATGCAAAACTAAGCAAGCTTTCGCCGATTAGCCTGATTATTTCTCTTTGATGCAACTTTTCAAAAAAGTAAAACACTTTTTTTGATAGGGTAAAATTGCTTTCATTTCTTTTGCTCTTACCATCTTTTTAAATGGTTTCATGCTAATAAAGGAGGGCTTTTAATGTGAGAATGCTTGGGAAAAGGCCACGTGAACGCAACCAACACTATTCAAGGAGATCACAAATCGTTCCCAACTCCGATCAAGACACTCGTTGAGCCCACTTTAGCTATGATCCTCTCTTTATTTCTTTATTTTGATACTTCCATTCAGTGTCTCCTTCATGTATGTGACACGTTACATATCTTCCTCAAAATGGTTCCAATTCTCCTCGCAAATTGGTGAATGATCCAGATCTACATGATTAGTGGGACACTTTTCCAGAGCAACGTCTATGAAATTCTTTCGCCTCTCCCTCCTCCAATGTTGTTAATTGCAAAATTGTCAATGCCATCCTGAGAGGGGCCGTGGTAGCAGTGGGCATCCCTGCGAATGCATGTCTAGGTTTATAGTCATGATTTAGGCGGAGCTGCCAACGGCGAATTCGGAGATTGCAACGTTAAAACCTCTCAAGATTTTTATATACTAGGCATTTATTTTGAAAATATCAACATCGATTTGGGTTTTCAGAGTGGCCTGGGTATTTCTTGCTCGGTTCATAGTTTTCACGCTTCCTTCAACTTGTGGATCAATGTCCCTAGCATTATCGATGCAAAGGCGTCTTTCCACCACCATTTTGAGGTCTTCCTTTTTTCTCAGGCTCATAAAGCTGGCTCATACTATGGAAATTATTGGTGACTAAAGATAATTTACCATGGAAAAAGAAAAAAAGGCAAGTTCTTTCGCAAGTTCAGTCCAGTCTACTATTTTGACTTGTCGAAACACTGCAGGCTCAGATCCAAAGCACACTACCCGCCTGACCTCATGGGATATGAACATTGCCTGGTCGCAAAGTAGTCCTCTCTTTCACGGCCTTATCGAAATATGGTGAGTCTTCGTATTTCGTACATTCAAATCCGCTTCCATCTCGTTGTAGAGCACTCGAAATTAAAATCTTAAGCGCTGAAATAATAAAGCAGTCTTATATGTGTGGATCTTTGGTGTGAATTTGTTGTTCGATGTCTAACTTGGGATTATAGTGGTGAAACTTTTCGTAGTACTACAAGGTTACGTTAAGCGCTTTGGATACAAACTTAGTCCCATAATATAAGAGCATTTTTGTCAGTTGAGTCCAATTGGCCAAATAAATCCATAGCCGAATACTTTTTTAAGTCAACTGACATGCAGTAGCGGTAGATTTTAAATTTTCGCACGAAGGACACACAACTGCCACCGTTACTTTAAGTCGAAGCAAAATTGTCCCTCTTGATTGAAATGAACGTGTTATTTAGTCTTTCGTTTTAATTAAGTGTTTCTTTTCGGCCCATCTTTCGGCTCGTTCGTTTATTCGAATGCAGTTTTTCTGAATCCCATCCCCACCGCGCAATCAAATGTTTTCATGTGAGTTTGTTATTATTTCTCACTACAGACGAAGGGAACATCGAGTTTTGGTAAGCGCCATAACAAGACACACACTCTGTGTGTGCGCTGTGGTCGTTCAGCATACCACATTCAGAAGAAGCGATGTGCTTCTTGTGGCTATCCAGCCGCTAGAACCAGGAAGTGTAAGTCTGTTTTTTTTTTTATGTTATAATTGAAGTAAACTAAGTTGTTGTTAAAGTGATGATTATGACTTGTGCGACATGAAGTCCGATTTCCAATAAATTGCGTCAGTTACAAATTGGAGGAAGCTCAGGATTTTAAAATTTTAAGTAAAAGCATACCCTTCTTGTTAATAATGATGAAAGTCATTAGACCAGCTGATTTTGTCCCTGTATGTTTGTTTGGCCATTTCAGAAGTTTTTCCATTTTTGATTAGCTATGTAGTTGAGTTATATAGGCTGTTGGCTTTAAGTGCTTAATTTTAATTGATTGCTCAACTGTCCATTTTTGCAAGTCCAATGACAAGTGTATGTAATTGGATGGGTGGAGTTGGACAGTGTGGACTTAAATCACCCAATTAAGACCCAAACAAGGGTATAATAGATGATTTTGTTATTGACACAGTTAGTAATGGTAATAGAACTGAGTGGAATCCAATTCGGTAATCATAAGTGTGATTGACAGAAATCAGATGACCATATAGCAGCAGTCCAATTTGTTAATCACTAGTATCATTACAGGTACAAAAAGTTCGATAACCAATTAATGAAAACTATGACAAACTATTCAAAACAAGCTAGCCATTGGTTAAAAGTTTTCATAAAACAGACAAAAGGGTAATGGGAATGCCCACACAAGATACATTCTGTCCAATTACACAAGCATGGGGTTTCCACTGTCCAATTACTTGCATGGCACTGCTCTATTAGTACTCAAATCAGGCTGTTTGATAACTGATCTGTCATACTTTTGATTAAGCAAGAAATTGTAGAAAATCTATTGTTATAATGGTTGTCCTCCTTAGAAACTTAAAAGATTAAAGCTGTTGCAAAAATTTCATGCACCAGACAAAGACAGACAGACAGCAAATTGCTTTATTTAGCATAATTGTGACTGTTCCATTGAAAGCTTTTCAACTTCTGAAAACTCAAAATTTTTTCTCTAGTTAACTGGAGCATCAAAGCTAACCGAAGAAAGACAACTGGAACCGGCCGTATGCGCCACCTTAAAGAGCTACATCGCCGCTTTAAAAATGGATTCCGTGAGGGAACTCAGGCCAAGTCCCAGAAACGAAAAGGTGGAGTGGCTCCTGCCTCCAGTGGTGCAAGCCAGTGAGAAAATGTACTTGTAATAAAACAGTTTCTTCCATCAATGAAATAGTTGTCTTTTGATATGTTTGCTTTAGTCTCTCCAGTCATGCTTTCTCCTCGATCAGTTATTGTGATTTCACTTGTTTGTGGGACAGTCAGATTGAGATGAGAAATGCTTAACTGCTGGAAATTTGGGCAATGGCTTTTGTTACATATTTTAGGATGCAAACATCTGCCAAGGCTTTTTTTGTCCACAAAATGTTGCTAGACTATGAGTAGTCCCTCCTTTTCATTGAAATTCCTTGCAAGTGAAAAATAATCACCAAAATCAAACATACACTACACTACAAGGGTGCACTGAATTTTGTTTACACATGCTTTTTACTTTGCCAACAAGGAGGAACTGCTTGCAGTCTAAAATGTTTTCTGATGGGT